AAGGGCAGCTCAGATAGAGAAGGGAGCACCAAATAAAGGGTGTTTGGAGGATCCTCCCAGGAGGGGAGATGCACGTTGAAAGTAGACTATGGACTGAACATGATTGCCACTCAATGACTCTTTTGCAGACCACAACACCCAAAAGGAGAGAGAGAACACAAGGGATTGCCCTGCCACAGAGGCAGGGTGGGATGGAGGGGATGGGGGGTGGGAGGGATGCTGGGACCCGTGGTGGTGGAGGATGGGCGCTGGTGGAGGGATGGGTACTTGATCATTGTAAAATCGAAACCCAAGCACAAAAATTTGTAAGTCTACAACTGTACCTCATGGTGTATCACTAATAAAAATATTTAAAAAAAAGAAGAAGAAGAAGATGAGATAGTGGGTAGGGGATGGTCAAGGTGCTCTGCATTAAAAATGTGAACTAGGGGCTGGAGCGATAGCACAGCAGGTAAGGTGTTTGCCTTGTACGTGGCCGACCCGGGTTCGATTCCCAAAATCCCCTATGGTCCTCCAAGCACCACCAGGAGTAATTCTTGAATGCAGAGCCAGAAGGAACCCCTGTGCATCGCAGGGTGTGACCCCAAAAGCAAAAGGAAAAAAAAGTGAACTAGGCAGGGGCGGGGGGGTCAGAACAATAGTACAGCGGGTAGGTGCTTGCCTGGCATGTGGCAGACCGGGTTCTATCCCCGGCATCCCCTGGGGTCCCCCTAGCACCACCAGGAGTAATTCCTGAGTGCAGAGTAAGGAGTAACCCTTGAGAATCGCCAGCTGTGGCCCCAAAACCTAACTCAAAAAATTAAAATGGCAAAGTATGGCAGGTAAGGTGCGCGTCGTGCATGCGGCTGAGCCAGTTTCAATCTCCAGCATCCTGTGTGGTCCCTGAGCACAGAGCCAAGAATAAATCCCAAGGAGCAAAACAGAACGGCTGATACGACTCTTTGCCTCGTCTGAGGCTGAATCCGGTTCGATCCTTGACATCCCACATGGTCTCCTGAGCACCGCCATGAGTGGTTACTAAGTTCAGAGCCAGGAGTAACCCTTGAGTATGCCCCCAAAACAAAAGGAAGAGTGAGCCCCGAACAAACACAGAATGACTGCACTCATTTGCGGAATATAAAATAATACCGACTAACACCTAAGGACAGGAGAGACAAGGGCCAGGGTTGCTCCGCGGTTTGGAAACCTGCCTTGTGTGCTGGGGGGAAAAGGCAGTTGGGATGGAGAAGGGATCACTAAGTCAAAGACGGCTGGAGGAATCGTTCGGGATGGGAGATGTGTGCTGAAAGTAGACTAAGGACCAAACAGGATGGCCTCTCAGTACCTGTACTGCAAACCACAATACCCAAAAGTAGAGAGAAAAAGAAGGAGAGAAGGAAGGTGCCTATCACAGAGGCAGGGGGTGGGATGGGCTGGGGATGGAGGGAGGGATACTGGGAACACTGGTGGTGGAAAATGCATACTGGTTGGAGGGATGGGTGTTCGATCATTGTATGACTGAATGTCAATCATGAAAGCTTTGTAACTGTATCTCGTGGGGATTCAATAAAAAAAAAAAAGCCCTGAGCATTGCTGGGTGTGACTCAAAAACAAATATATATATATATACACACATATATATATTTTTTTTTAAAAGAAGAGGCTGGAGGGGACCGGAGCGATAGCACAGCGGGTAGGGCGTTTGCCTTGCACGTGGCCGACCCGGGTTCGATTCCCGGCATCACATATGGTCCCCCAAGCACCACCAGGAGTAATTCCTGAGTGCAAAGCCAGGAGTAACCTCTGAGCATTGCTGGGCATGACCCAAAAAGCGAAAAAAAAAAAAAAAAAGAAGAAGAGGCTGGAGGGATAGCACAACAGGGAGGGTATTTGACTTGCACGCGGCTGACCTGGGTTTGATTCCCAGCATCCCATGTGGTCCCCTGAGCACCGCCAGGGGTAATTTCTGACTGCAGAGCCAGGAGTAACCCCTGTGCATCCCCGGGTGTGACCCAAAAGGGAAAAAAAAAAAGGGGAAGGAAGAGATAGTAAGACACTACAGTAGCACAGAGCGTAAGGAGCTTGTCATGCATGTGGTTGACCCAGGTTTGATCCCCGGCACCCCATATGTGTGACTCCTGACCACAGCTAGGTGGCAGGAATAAGCCCTGAGCACAGACGGAAGTGGCTCAAAATCTAACCTCCTTTCTGGGGGGATGGAAAAAAAAACAGTGAGATAGGACCGGGAGGGGGTAGCGGGGGGCTGGGTAAAGCATGCTTGGCATGCTGCTGACACTGGCTCCATCCCGGGCACCAGACAGGAATGCTCCCTGAGCACCCCCAGGGGTGGCCCCCTCCCCGGCCTCTCCCCAGAAAGGCAAAACAGCGAGAACTTTGCACCATAAACAGCCCAGCCACGCTGCTGCTCCACTCCTTTACACGTTGTTCTTTTAAGCGCTGGGGCTGTAACTTTTATACAGTTTAATCAATGCCTCTCGCGGCACTGCTGTTTGGAGGGCTCGCACACAGTCTGACCCGGGAATTATGAGAGCTGGGGCTTTTGCTCACTCTTCAATTCCCAGAATCGAGCAGAATCCTTGGCACCTAACGGGCAGTTTAATAGAGAGCCGCAGGAAACTCTAACCAAATACCAGCAAGGAAGCCAACACCTACTGTTAGCTGCGTGAACAGTTCTGCTTTAGTCCACTCATTTATTTAAATCAGCAAAGGGTGGCCGGGCGGTAGTACAGTGCGGAGGGGGCTTGCCTTATACATGGCCAGACCAGGTTCAAGCGCCAGGATCCCATACGGCCCCCCTGAGGACCACCAGGAATGATTCCTGAGCAAAGAGCCAGGAGTAAGAAACCCTGAATATTGTTCGGTGTGGTTCCAAAACCAAAAACTAAATTGGAAAAAAAAAAAAAAAAGGAAGGACATCTGAGTGTTAAAAAAAAAAAAATTGGGGCTGGAGCAATAGCACAGCAGGTAGGGTGTTTGCCTTGCATGCGGCCAACCGGGGTTCGATTCCCAGCATCACATAGGGTCCCCCGAGCACCGCCAGGAGTAATTCCTGAGTGCATGAGCCAGGAGTCACCCCTGTGCATTGCTGTGTATGACTCCAAAAGCAAAAATAAATAAATAAATAATGATTTTTAAAAAGGTACAAATCTTTTTTTCCCTTTTTTTTTTGGTTTGTTTTTAGGCCACACCCAGCAATGCTCAGGATTTATTCCTGGCAGTGCTCAGGAGACCATATGAACTGCTGGGGGGGGGGGTGCTCAGGGCTCACTCCTGGATCTGTGCTCAAGAATCACTCATGGTGGTACTCAGGGGACTATTTATTGGGTTGGGAATCAAGCCAGGATTGGTTTACTGGGAGGCAAGCTTCTGAACTACATACAGAGTACTACCATTCCCGCCCACTCATTTTATAATTTTGCAATTCAGCAAATGGCTTCAAGTGGTGGTGCATGGACCTGTCTTACATGTGCAAAGTCCTGGGTGTATCCCCATTTGGCCCCACCCTATACACCCCAAGACAGTGTGCACCTCTCCCTCTACATAAACACACACACACACCAGTTCATAAATGGAGAGTTGAAGAGATGCTTGGCTCAAGTGATGGAGCACACGCCTAGCCCTGGGGTTCCATCTCTGACCCAGGCACCCCTGGGTGTAAGCACTGGCTCTGCTCCCCCTGCCCCTCAGCATCTCAAAAGCCAGCCCCTAATTTGCTTGCCGGCAATGCTTAGGGGTTTCTCCTGGCTCTGGGCTCGGTCATTGCTCCTGGAGATGCTCTGGGGACCATATGGGAGTTGGGGGGTGGGGAGGGCGGATGAAATCCGGGTACAAGGCAAGCGCCCTACACACTGTACTATCTTTCAGGCCCCGCACTGTTTATTTTATTGGTTCCAGGCAGTGCTGGGGGGACAGGGAAGGGAGTGGGGGGTGGACTCCTGCCAGTGCTCCGCGCTGGGAGGACCATAGGCGGTGTGCCCGGCTCTAGCTGGGATCAGCAGCATGCAAGACGAGGGCCTGAACTCCTGTACTATCTTTCCCACCCGGTCTGTCGTTGGTGATGTTAACTGGCACAGGGGTCCTGAGACATGGTACAGTGGGCCAGGTGGTGCCTTGCAGGCGGTGGACCCTGGTTCCATGGCTGGCTCCACACAGGGTCCCCCAAGGACCGACAGGAGTGACCCCTGAGTGCAGGGCAGGAATAAGCCCTGAGCACGGCCGGGGGAGGGGGGGGGGCATAACAATAATAATGAAAATTGGACGGGCTGAAGCGATAGCACAGCGGGTAGGGCGTTTGCCTTGCACGCGGCCGACCCGGGTTCGATTCCCAGCATCCCATATGGTCCCCTGAGCACCGCCAGGGGTAATTCCTGAGCGCAGAGCCAGGAGTGAGCCCTGTGCATTGCCGGGTGTGACCCAAAAAGCAAAAAAAAAAAAAAAAAAAAGAATGAAATCATTTTAAGTTGTGAGTTGTGCCCCAACAAGGAAGCAGAAACAAGACAGGGACACTCGTGATGGGGACAGCATCCGATGCGATGCCAGGACCGGAGGAAGGAGGATCTAGTGCAGGGCCAGAGGCCTGAGGCCAAGGGGGGCGTTTTTCCGTCTAATTCTGACGTTTGGATAAAGGGATCGGAGAAGGGACGCTGCTGGGGGGGGGGGCGGAGAGCGGTGCTCAGCGTTCCAGACGCAGGAGACCGGGCCGACGTGGGCACCCGACAGTGGACCGGGCAGAATGTCGGTTATGATTGTCCCCGAAAAGCCAGGGGCAGAGCCCGCGGCGTCGCGCGGGGCGGGGCTCGGACTGAACCGGGGCCGGCAAGTGGCTCCCCCGCCCAACGCCGGCAGCCGCACTGCGCAGGCGCGCGGCCCCGACGGCCCAGGCCCCGCCCTCGCCTCCCGCACTGCGCACGCGCGCGGCACCGGCCGCCCCAGCCCCGCCCCTCCGCCCCGCCCCCCCCGGCGCGACCCCGCCGCGCCTCCCGCACTGCGCATGCACTGACCGTATCGTTATCGACGTCTCCGAGGCAGATTGCGTGCGGGAAGAGACTCCCGCTAAAGTCCAGGGCTACGCGCTGCACGTAGCTAACCGACCTCATCGCACCGCCCCCGGCCCAGGCCGCCGGGAGCCCGCGAAATCGCCCCCGAGCCCCTCCCGACAGCCGCCCGAGCGGAAGTTGCGTCACCGCCCGAGCGTCCAATCCCAGGCTTCCGCGCTCAACCTCGGCCGGGAGGCGGGCGCTCGGGGCCCTCGAGGCAGGGGCGGGCCCAGCCCGTGAGTGACAGGGCCGTAGCCACTCCCTTTCTCCCGAGGGCTGCGGAGCCGGAGTAACCCGTTCGTGGCCGGACCTTTCTGTTCCCCTGGCAACAGGGCTCACTCTAGGGCTTGGCTTGATAGCCTTGACCTCCCCTCTTTTTAACCCTAGCAAATGAAGAATCCCCACCCCACACCATCCCTGAAAGTTCATAAGAATCGTAACACTGATGAGGATTTCTTTTTTTTTTTTTTTTTGCTTTTTGGGTAACACCCAGCGATGCACAGGGGTTACTCCTGGCAGTGCTCAGGGGACCATATGGGATGCTGGGAATCGAACCCGGGTCGGCTGCGTGTAAGGCAAACGCCCCACCCGCTGTGCTCTCTCCAGCCCCTGATGAGGATTTCTAACAGTTCATAAAAAAGTAAAGCGCCGCAGTTTATCCGTTGGGAGTTGAGAATACAACTTAATCCCGTGAATTATCCCAGCATTAGGAGTCACTGCAACAAAACAGAAATAGAAAATATACCAAGCGGTCCTCCTCGGACCGTTTCGGGGAAGATTTTTTTGCTTCCATTGGCTTCTGACATTTTTGGTGGTGTTGTGTTATGTTCTATGAGAAATGATCGCTGCAAAGCCCTTTTCACATATTTTGCCATGTAATTGAGCACAATAATGTTGTGAACTTGAATTTTTATTGCAGGGGGTTTTTTTTTGTTTTTTGTTTTTTTTTTTGCTTTTTGGGTCACACCCGGCGATGCACAGGGGTTACTCCTGGCTCTGCATTCAGGAGTTACTCTTGGCAATGCTCAGGGGACCATACGGGATGCTGGGAATCGAACCCGGGTTGGCCGCGTGCAAGGCAAACGCCCTACCCGCTGTGCTATCTCTCCAGCCCTTATTTCACTGAGATGTTTTTTGATTTTTAGTCTTAGAGTCACACCCGGCGAGCTCCCCTTGGCTCTGGGCTCAGGGATCACTCCTGATGAGGCTCAAGGGACCTTTCCGGATGCTGGAGATTGAACCGGGTTGACCTCCTGCGGTGCAATCCCCGGGCTCGCTGTCCTAGAACTGACACATTTCTACGTTTAATCAGCAGGTGGGCGTTTGTTTGCTTTGCATGCGGCCAACCCGGTTCTATTCCTTTGTCCCTCTCAAAGAGCCCAGCAAGCTACGGAGAGTATCCCGCTTGCACGGCAGAGCCTGGCAAGCTCCCCGTGGCGTATTTGTTATGCCAAAAACAGTAACAAGTCTCACAATGGGGACGTTACTATTGCCCGCTGGAGCAAATCAACGAACAACGGGAGGACAGTGGACAGTGGACAGTCTGCAAGTTCAAGTTTAATTTCATGTTGACTTTTCATGGTGCGGCGTCTGGGCCTGCTTTCAAAGACTAATTTTAGTGGGAGAAGCACTGAGGAGAGGATCGTTTGCCCAGGGATAGGAGAGAGAGGTAGCATGTTTTGTCCCTAGAAGTCCCATGGAACTGACAGCCTAATAAAATGGGAACAAGGGACAGCAAGAGGACAGGCATGGGGACGGCAGGTACAGCAGGTTCTGTTTCCAGTGGTGTGTGATCAGTTGGCTTGATCTCTTCAATGGGACCCCAGAGCTTTCCTGGTGCTTTAATACATGGCGTCACTGGGGCCAGAGAGGTTGTGCAATGGGTAGGGCACTTGCTTTGCACACGACAGACCAAGATTCAATCCGGGCATTCCATATGGCCTCCCCCGAGCACAGCCAGGAGTGATTCCTGAGTGCAGAGTCAGGCATAACCCCTGAGTATTGCCATCTGTGGATAAAATAAAGTAAACAAGCAAATTAGGAGCTGGCTCATGAGATTCTGAGAGGGGGCAGGACCAGTGCTATATCCAGGGCTGCCTGGGTCAGAGACAGAACTCCAGGCCTAGGCATGTGCTCCATCACTTGAGATAATCTCTTCAACTTGCCCTTTACGAACTGGTGTGTGTGTGTGTGTGTGTGTGTGTGTGTGTGTAGGGGGAGAGGTGCACACTGTTTGGGGATGTATAGGGCGGGGCCAAATGGGGATAAACCCAGGACTTTGCACAAGTAAGGCATGTCTGTGCACCAATACTTGTAGCCATTTGTTGAATTGAAAAAAATATCATAAACATTAGTGGGTGGGAATGGTAGTGCAGAGGTTCAGAAGCTTGCCTGAGCATCACCAAGTGTGTCCCGAAAACCGGAATAAACACATGATGTCACTTGTAAAGGGCTTGTATGCCACACAACTCTGTTCTTTCTCTGTTCTCTCGTACTAGCTCAAAGCATATGCTTCATACTAAGCTCTAAAGCATGCAAAAACAAAGCCTATTTTAGTTGTTTTTTGGGGAAGGGGGTTTGTTTAATTTTTGGGGGGTGGGGGGCATACCTGGCATTGCTCAGGGCTTACTCCTGACTCTGCACTCAGGGATCATTCCTAGCGGGTTCAGGGGACCCTATGGGGTTCCAGGGATAGACCCCAGTCAGCCGCATGTAAGACAGTTGCCCTTCCTTCTCCACTATAGCTCCCACCCCAACAAAACCTACTTTAAAGATGTTTCTCTGACTGATGATGTAGCTCAGTGGTAGAGTGTATGCCTCAGATGCATGAGGTTCTGAGTTCAGTCCTTGGTACTTCTCCCAAATTACTTATCACTAGGTGATTTGGGTTTTTGGTTTGGGTTTTGGCTTTTGGACCACACATGGTGGTACTCATGCCTCACTCCTGGCTCTGCACTCAAGAATCACCCTTTCAAACATAAAGCAACAAAATGGGAGACTAACACCCAGGAATGGCTGAGATTAGTACCAGGAATTTTGCTCCATGACTTGGAGGCCAGCCACACGTGCTAGGGGAAAAGGGAGCTCAGATAAAGAGGGGAACACCAAATAAAGGTGTTGGGAGGATCCTCCCAGGATGGGAGAAGCATGCTGAAAGTAGACTATAGACCAAACATGATTGCCACTCAATGCCTCTCTTGCAAAACACAGTACCCAAAAGAAGAGAGAGAGAACAAGGGGGAATGCCCTGCCACAGAGGCAGGGTGGGATGGGGGGGATCGGGGGTGGGAGGGATGCTGGGACCCGTGGTGGTGGAGGATGGGCACTGGTGGAGGGATGGGTACTTGATCATTGTATAACTGAAACCCAAGCACAAAAATTTATAAGTCTATAACTGTACCTCATGGTGTTTCACTAATAAAAAAAATTTTTTTTAATTAAAAAAATTTTTTTAAAAAATCACCCTTTTAGGGCTTGTGGGGGCCAAATGAGGTGCCAGGGACAGAACTGGGGTTAGCCACATGCAAAGCAAGCACCCTACCAGTATACTATTTCTACGGCCCCTAGATTTTGTTTTTCAAATCAGCTAGAGAGACAGTACATTGGGTAAGGCACTTGCCTTGCATGCAGCCAACCTGGGTTTGATTCCAGGCACTGCAGATAGTCTTCCGAGCCCCACCAGTAATAATCCCTGAGTGAAGAGCCAGCAGTAAACCATGAGCCTTTCAGGGTATGGCCCCCAGACAAAAAAACATATTCTAGGATTAGAGTGGATAGTACAGTAGGTTGGGTGTTTGCCTTGCACGCGGCCGACCCGGGTTCGATTCCCAGCATCCCACATGGACCCCTGAACACTGCCAGGAGTAATTCTAGAGTCCAAAGCCAGGAGTAACCCCTGATGGCCGGGTGTGACCCAAAAAAGCAAAAAATATATACATATATTAATAATAACAGATCAATTATGACTTGTCTTTTGTTGTTATGGACTTTGTATCCAAGAGGTGCTGCTGTGCTGCTGGCCAAAAGAAGGTACTTTGACTTTTACCAACTGGGGATTTATTCACAATTTGTACTCTGGCACAGACTGGATCAAGAATCTTTATGGCTGGCTGATCTTCGTGGCCTTTTCTGTCTCTGCTTAACTCTGGGCAGCATGCTTATAAACTCTGATGACATTCTTTCGGAGTTACTGATAAAATATTATTAAAGGATTCCCCTTGGGGCTAGGGAGATAGTTCAGCGGGCAGGATGCTTGTCTTGCACCCAACCCAGATTTGACCCCTAGCATCCCATATGGTCCCCTGAGCCCTGCCAAGAGTGATTCCTGATTGCAGAGTTGAGTAACCCTCGAATATGGTGAAAAGGAAGAAGAAAGATTCCCCAGTTGGAGAATACAGTGGGGAGGGTGTTTGCCTTGCACACGGCCAACCTGGGTTCAATTCTCAAGACCCCATATGGTCCCACAAACTCCCCCAGGACTGATCCCTAATTACAGGGCCAGGAGGAAGTCCTGCGTGCTGCTAAGTGTGCACCCCCCAAAAAAATTCCCCTAGAGCAGCGTTTTTCTTGTTCTGTTGGTTTTTTTTTTTTTTGGGGGGGGGGGTCATACCTGCGGTGCTCAAGGCTTACTCCTGGCTCAACATTCAGGAATCACTCTTGGTGGGGTTTGGGGTGTTATACGGAGATTCTGGGGGAATGAACCCAGGTCAACTACATGCAAGGCAAGAGCCTATCTGCTGTACTCACTCTCCAGCCCCACAGAGCAGAGTTTTTCAGGCAGATCCCCTGCAGGCCTCTAGTATCAGGTACATCAAGGCCACAGATGAAAATCGGTTAAGTTGGGAACGTGGCGTAAGACTAGGGGTCCAACCTGTTGGACTGGGCTGGAGTGGCCGTAAGAAGGAAACAAGGACACAGCAGCAAGACCTGGAAGACACCATAGTACTGGAGATCTCTCCGGGCCTCATACCGAGCCAGTTTCACTGGGGCACCCCAGATGTAGCAGGTGCAGTCTCCCCGCCTACTCCAGATGGAATCCCGGTGACCAAGAGCTTCCACAAGCAAGGCCCAGGTATGCAGGTTCCAGGATTAAATCTTCAGGCCGCATGGTGACAGAGGCACCGGGCTGTCCCTCCCCGGCTCACCTCCCCCCTTGCCACTCCACCCCT